AATGCCTTGCGAACCTAACACAGCCTAAAAGGCACAAAGGAAGCCAAATTTTTACAATATTTGTCCCTGTTCTAAGGACATTAAGTAGCCTAGGTTTGAAGATTTTATAACGTTTCTGTACGTTTTTATGAACTATGGGTAAATGTACCAGTCGCCATCTTTTTTCCTACGGAGGATTTGCTCCAGTTCCATTGCGGTGGGATCCTCGTGCAAGTTCGATTTCACGACGTCGATATTGCAGCGCGCGCGAATGTCGACCGATCAACTTGAGTTATTTGAGCCAGTATAAACACGGGACGACATGACCTTAGTAACTGTTTACCTTGGTAGAAGCTCAAATGTAAACACGACGATAGTTTTCGCCTTACACTTGGGTGTCAGAACAAATGACATAACACCTAGTACCTGTCATTACATGATTTTTCTCAGGCTCAAGATGTCACGCAAACCGTTAGTCTATAAAAAAATTGGTCCTGTACAACAGTGACGATTCTCAAATTCCACGAGCTGATTTCCACGGTTCGCAGATTTAACACCCTTTGGAAATTTCGAAATTTTTATTCCTATTTATTTCAGGGAGCTGCACTTTAGTTACAAAAAAACACGACGCAACGTTTTCAAAACCTGTGTTTACGTGCGGAAACATCCAGGCGGAGCTGTCAAAACTTGACATGTTCACGCTCTAAACGTTGATTAGTTCAATTAAAAAACTTGGAATGTTTTAAGCGTGGAACAACGCGGAAATAACGTTGGCCGTTCACGGTAGCTCGAAAATGGTAGTGCAGGTTTTCTTACCTTTTCTAATTGCTGGCTTCGGGACCGTGTCCGCTGGTATTCTCCTTGATGTTGTTCAGGTAACTAAAATCTTCATAATTTCACAGGATCAACTTACGTGTTTAGCGAAAAATTTCGTATTGAACCAGATGATCGAATGCCCTACAGTGTCAACTTAAGACTTCAGCTTATCTTTCTCACAGTGGAAGCCGTTTCACCAAACTATTGCAAGCTCAAATAGGCTTGATTTCAATTAATTTATTGAAATTTCAATTACCTGTTTAAATGTAATACCATGGGTGACAAATTACTCCTTAATTTTGGCGCGAAATTTCATAATTTCACATGTGACATGACAAAATTGCTATATGTGGCAACATCTCTTGTATCTCGATCAGTGGCAAGATGGCGTCGAGATCTAAGACGGTGACCACTGAAGAAGTTACGGAATTAACAGAAGCGTTTTTAGTAAGTGATGTGACGAAAATGAAATGGAGATGATTCTTCCTGAGCAGTTGGATAAAGTACTCGAGCGGTTTTACGCCTCCGTGTGTAAACAAGACAGAACCGATTACGAACCTGGGTCCCTAAAACTGATTATCCAACCACTCAGTCTGGAAAACGGTGGTCAGAAAGCTGAAGGCCAAGGCCGAAATAATAACAATAACAGACCATCGACAAGAACAAAGCGTTGAAGCCTACGACTCCGGGAACGAAGACGAGCAGCGGCAACTGTCTAGCATCATTGATGGCAAAGAAATCCACTTTAACCAGACAACCAGTCGAGTTCCCCTTCAGCCGCTAATCCAGTCCACTGCAGCGGTGAGCAGTGGCCGTCTATAATTTCCACAACTGTAAAGTGGTGATAAAAGCCAGACAGGCTAACGCTTCATGCACAACAAGCCGTAATGTATAATTTGTCCGTAACCTGAGACTCCTTGCCAGCTCTGAAGGCTCAGAAGGATTTTCAACTTTGTGCATTTTCGCTCGGCTTTCATTTAGGCAAGTTTTCTTAGACCATAAAGTAAATCAGTTAGTGATAATTTCACTTCAAAACAAACTGTCAAAATTTTATATGGCCTCGTGCAAAATTTTAGTTTCAGCTCATTTCAACGGGCGCCGTTGTCGTCTCTTTCACAAGTTCATGACAAATTACATAGAGCCAATAATTTACAGCGGTTATCAATCACACGCGACCTTCAGCGCAAAAAAAAAGTCTGGTCTAGACAAAACCCAAGTTTTGATGGACATCAATCATCTCCGCCACCTTGCCGACTGTATGCAAAATTTACCTGAAAGTGAAACCCTGCAGCGGTCCACTTGTAAAAACTATCATTTTACTTTTGGTATGTACGGCTAGCTCATTAACTACACCCTTCAGTGAAATCTATAGTTGAAAACGTTTGTCGGGTTTTTCAAAGGCCATTCCCATGCATGAATGACCCCGAGAGCAAGCAAATCCACACGAAAACAGATTATTTCTGCACGTCTTTTTCTTGGATCTACGGACTGAACAATACTTAACTACTATAAAACTTAGAACTTATTACCTTGCAAAATTATAAGGTTTATAAGACGTTTAAGTCTTGTTCAGTCCGTAGTCCCAAGACAAATATGTGCAGAAATAATTTGTTTGCATGTAGATTTGCTTGCTCTCGGGGTCATTCATTCATGCGAATGGCCGTTGAGAAACCCGGCCTGCCCGTCTTCAGTTATAAATTTCAAGGAATATTTACTGCCATTGTATTTAGTGAGCTAGCCGTACATACCGAAAGTAAAATGATAATTTTTACGAGTAGACCGCAGTAAGGTTTCTCTTTTTCAGGTAAATTTTGCTTACAGTCGGTAAGGAGGCGGAGATGATAGGGTCGGTACAAAACGTGGACCCCTCAATCTGGACCCCCTAGTGGACCCCCTTTTGGACCCCTTCTGGACTCCCATCTGGACCCCTTCTGGACCCCTATCTGAACCCCCATATGGACCCCCCCTTTTTTCCCTTTGTTTTGAACGACAGTTAAAGTGAGCCGTCTAGGTGATGAGCTGTATGTATTTTCGAATGATTCAAGCCGTGATTAAATGCTTTAGACCATCAACAGTCAAGGGAATTGAGGAGTATTCGAATGACGTGTTCAGCTGTTTATTTATACGATATTGTAAATAAATACAGGTAAATACGGACATGGCGAAATGACGAACTAATAGTTGATAGTACATGTAGAAGAAACGACATTACACAAGGGCTTGCAATAGAGGCCTTCCAAGGNTGGTTTAGTCGTATATGTTTAGGGAGTCGTCACAATTTTATACAAATCAGGTGACATTTTTATTTTAAACAGACGTTGCATTTTGAAGTTTTTACTTTGTAACCTTTTATTTACAACTTTTTGATGCTTTAATAATTCTTTTTTTTGACAGACCTATGTCTTTTTCTAGATAGAGGTGGAGAATTTGCATTCTTTTGAAAAACACTAATATCCCTGGGATGGGGCATTTGCATTCCTTTGACCAAGGTTAATTTCCCTGGGGTCGGGCATTTGAACTGAAAAGATGATCGGAGTTCAAATCTCCCGCCTTTGCCCAACCTCCGCCCCCCCTCCCCCAGCGGCCTAACATTGATAGGTGCATAAGCTAAGAAACGAAGGTAAAGGACAATTACCTAATAAGCTTCAGTCAAAAAGCCTAACGAGAGAGGAAGAAGAAGCTTTATGGGAAGCGGGCAGCTTGGAAATTCATCTTCACGGTCACTCCTGAACAGCATTTCGGCCTACGTCGCTGCCATGAGCATAACAGAATGAGTGTGGAGGATTTCTCGCTCAATTAAAGACGACAACGGCAACGAGTTGGTAACCTTCGCAGAAAGCCCGCCAAAAACACGGCAAGGAGGTTTACGAGTTCAGGCGAGATCTGTACTACCCAAAATGTTCGCAACTGGTGAATCACGAGGTCCTGTGGCTCTTTTTAAGAGTTACCTGTTCAAGAGGCCTGAGGATTTAAAATTATCTGGTCCGTTCTACTTAGCGCGCATCGACAACCCTATCACAACAGACGTATGGTACAAGAAGAGCCGAATGGTAAAATACCATCAGTAAAATTAGGAAAAGTATGAAAGGAAACTCACCGTTACAAGATATGTGTCCTGAGGAAAAATTATCCAACCATTCAGTCCGGAAAACGGTGGTCAGAAAGCTGAAGGCCAAGGGAGTTCCAAAATCCGAAATAATAACAATAACTGGCCATCGACAAGAACAAAGCGTTGAAGCCTACGACTCAGGGAACGAAGACGAGCAGCGACAACTGTCTAACTATCATTGATGGCAAAGAAATCCACTTTAACCAGACAACCAGTCGAGTTCCCCTTCAGCCGCTAATCCAGTCCACTGCAGCGGTAAGAAGTGGCCACGTCCACAATTTCCACAACTGTAATGTGGTGATAAACCAAGGACATGCCGGACAGGCTAACGCTTCATGCACAACAAGCCGTGACGTATAATTTGTCCGCAACCGTGCTCCTTGTCAGCTCTGAAGGTTTTTCAACTTTGTGCATTTTCGCTTGACTTTCATTTAGACAAGTTTTCTTGCACCATGAAGTAAATTTTTAGTGATAATTTCACTTCAAAACAAACTGTCAAAATTTTATATGACCTCTTGCAAAACTTTGGTTTCAGCGCATTTCAACGGGCGCCGTTGTCATTTCATTCATCAGTTCATGATGAATTAGCGCCAATCATTTAAGAAAGATTTGACAGTTGATTTAATTTTGAAACATTATGAACAAGCACGAAGAATTCGAAAGGTATTTTTTTGTGAAGAAACTCAGAAAATTACGAACTTTAGCAATAATGTATGCTTTAACTAAAACTATATTCTTCTTAATGTTCTCCGTTTTCCATAGAATAAACCAGTAAAAAAAATTACGGTTGTGAACGTAATTTGTCGCCCACGATATTAAAAGGTAATCAAATGGTTTTCTCGTGAAATTAGGAAATAATTTCACTTGCGCTTTGACAAAATTCTGATAATTCTCGAGTTTCGACAAAACGCGCGTGAAATTGTTTCCTAATTTCACTCGTCACCATTTGACTAC